GGAAGGAAGATGGGGCAATCTACTTCCATAGTGATACTGCCTTGGAAACCCAAGGAGGGGTCTCTATCAGTTGGGTCTGACTCAACGGCACATAACAACAACAATGATTCTTCCCTCAATTTCTTTTGGAGTCATCTTTCTCTCCAGCCTATTATAAGAATCTTAGTTCATTTCACTACTACCTAACATGTTGAAAACACCATTTCCATTATGTCATTCTCCTATTCAGGAACTAATAGTAGCTTGAAGTTTAATTCCTCTGCTTTGTCCACAGGCTATCCTGGCTTCTTTCCTAGAGGCCACACAATTTTCTCTGCTCCAGCCCAGTTATTCTCCTCACTTCTCTTTAAGACACAGTTATTCCACTCTTAACTTTTACTTATTCTTTATTTTCAGCTCCAGGCACTTATTTATGTAGCTCACTCTGTTGGGAAGCCTTTGGTCCTCTTCTTTACTTTTTGAAATTCTTCTCGCAAGGTAGTATGAGCCCCAACTAAAATGAGTGCCATACTTCTTAACAATTATTCTCTAACAGAATCATACAATCTGTTTAGAAAGACATGATTCACCTGATTTGTACTCCAACATGCTCAATGCAATGCTACAATCATAGGAACCCAGGTAGAGAACTAACAGTGATTTCAAAATAACTTATTTGCATTGCTCGAACATTGGGAAGGAGATTTTTAGAACAGTATCCTTTCACCATACTTATTCAATCTGTATGCTGAGCAAATAATCTGAGAAGCTGGACTGTATGAAGAAGAATGTGGCATCAGGATTGGAGGAAGACTCATTAACAGCCTGTGATATGCAGATGACACAACTTTGCTTGCTGAAAGTAAAGATGACTTGAAGCACTTACTGATGAAGATTAAAGACTACAGTATGTAGTATGGATTTCATCTCAACATAAAGAAAATGAAAATCCTCACAACTGGACCAATAAGCAGCATCACAATAAATGGAAAAAAGATTTTAATTGTCAAAGAGTTCATATTACTTGGTTCCACAATCAACACCAATAGAAGCAGCAGTCAGGATACCAAATGATGTGTTGCACGGGCAAATCTGCTTCAAAAGACCTTTTTAAAGTGCTGAAGAGCAAAGATGTCTCCTTGAAGGCTAAGGTGTGCCTAACCCAAGCCATGGTAGTTTCAATCACCTCATATGCATGTGAGAGCTGGACAGTGAATAAGGAAGACCAAAGAAGAGTTGATGCTTTTGAGTTGTGGTGTTGGCAAAGAATACTGAAAGTACCATGGACTGCCAAAAGAACTAACAAATCTGCCCTGGAAGAAGTGCAGCCAGAATGCTCCTTGGAAGCAAGCATGGCCAGAATTTATCTGACTTACTTTGGTCATGTTCTCTGAAGGGACCATTCCCTGGAGAAGGCCATCATGGTTGGTAACATGAAGGGTCAATGAGAAAGGGAAAGACCCTCAATGAGATGGATTGACACAATGGCTGCAATGATGGGCTCAGGTATAGGAAGGATTATGAGGCTGCCACAGGACTGGGCAGTGTTGTACATAAAGTCAGAGCCAACTCAACAGCACCTAACAACAGCAACAAGAACATTATATGAATATAAAAATCTTCGCCTTCCCATTCATTTCCCTCACACATATAAGCTGTTTCTGTGTGTCTTTCAATCTGTGGTGAATTGCTTGATGTAGCCATTCTAGCCATTGTCCTCCATTCTGTGATGTATTGTAACTCCTCTTATCCATGCCTGTTTGGGGTGGTGTGGTAGTTAAGGCCAGGTGTCAACTTGGCTGGGCAGCTGGTAGTAATTGTTCCCTATAATGACTGACAATTGGCTCTGTGGTGGGATTTGCCTTGAGTGGCTGATTGTTAAAGCTATCCACTTGGGTTATTTCTGTCGGAGCAACACAGGTGGAATGTATCTTGAGTCCTGCCTTTCTGGAGGGTATTATTCAAATCACAACTCAGCTTCCTTGAGGTTATGCCTACGAATCTCCTGGGAAGGTTCATCCTCCTCTTGTCCAGTTCTGTGTTTTGGATCATCCTCATCTCACCCCTGGATTTGGGAAAGCAGCCGTCATCTGATCTGCTGATCAAGGTTCATCAAACCCTGAAAATTAGGAGGATCCTCCAGACCCATTCACGGACCTGGGACTCACCAGCCTGCCAGCCTCCACTACTACTATTTGAGATGATCCCTTGGGTATCTGTGAGTTCTGTGAGGTGTTACAGTGAAATACAGAACCCTAAGATGGGAGAAATTACTGGGAGGAGGAGGAGGAGTTAATGTCTGAAATGATGGAGTGGCACAGTAGTTTGGACATTTGGGACATCTTTAACCTCTGCCTCATGAGTGCTGATCTTTTTGAGAGAGATTGTTCAAGCACAACCCAAATTATCCTCTAAAACTCCATTCCTCACTCCAGCTACTAAAATGAACTGATCAGGGAAATACATGGGTTGAATGATGATAAGCTAAAAATATATTAGGTTCACGTTTTTGGAAAGGGAAAGGCTGACCAGAGAGGTA